CCTCATTTCTTAGTGTTTTTAAGTGCCGTTTGCGGCAAAACGGAGAACATGGCGAGCTCTACACGTGTGTACTAGCAATTTCAATTTTGAGCAACCGAGGAAGTCCGAAAATTGAGACCCATTTTGAGGGTTTGAGGTGAAAATTGGGGCTTTGGCTTAAATTGAGGTAAGGGTGTTTAATCCACAATCTCTTAGATTTTGGTAAATTATTTTTCATAATTTATCTTTAATTTGTGTTCTAATTTGTGTTATTTTTCATATTGGTTATGTGTTGTATATGAGATGTGTATATATACATGTTAGTTGTTATGTGATAAAGAACCATGTAAGATTGACGCTAAATTTTATGCCAATTGTGCTTTAAAATGCTGAATTTTATGATTTTGAAGCATGATGTAAATTCCTAGAATATTTCTATGAGGCATGTATATTGTAAATATTTGACTTGTAAGAAATAAAAATTTCTCTATTGGTACGTCATTGAAATGCATAAGACATATATGTATTCATTGGGATAGAATGGGAAAAATTGATTTGAAAGAAATGAAATGGATTTTGGGAAAGAATTTTGAAAAGGGTTTTTGTGAAAAACCTGGCCGCCTAGGAGTTGCCTAGGGACCGCGGCGTTAGTGAGGCCTAGAGGGGACTAGGGAGACTGCCCTAGTGTGGTTGAGTTACTTGGGCCCCAAATGACGCCATGGAGTTGCCATGGGTCAGGGATAGTGGCCAATCCTCCTCTCGTGCCGCTATAGAGTTGCCATGGGACGGGTCCACTAACGATTTGAAAATGATGATGGAAATGGTTTTGGAAAATGGGGAGTGACATTGCATGGCATGGCATATTCATTTGTGGTATTGGATTAATGATGTGGTATTGTAGTTATATTTTTACTCCTGGCATTATATGATCCCAATTTCCTTATTCCTATTCATTGTGCGGATTCACGGGGTCTCAAGAGGTGTGCCTTAGGCACTACCTACTGAGCAATTTTGCTCACCCCTATTATTTAACATTTTTTCAGGGCTCGGAAAAGAAGTGGCGGATGACAATCCCCCACAAGCTTGAAGAAGAATAGGAATTGTATTTTGTTATCTTTTGTATCTTAGCCCATTTTTTTTGTATTGTCTCAAACTATGTAAAAGAGTATTTATTTTTGCAAATCATGGCCCTGTAACATAACTAAGACACTTAATTATTTTTTTTGTAAACTGAGACCATGTAAATGCTTAAGTTGAAGGGGATAACGATGATTGGCTAATTTGGGAAGGTTGTTGATGTTGTGGTATTGGGGAATGTATTATATTTCTTTTGTATTGTGTGTTAGGGCAGGTTGGATAGGTCTTGAATGACCGTTTTTTTTTTTTTTTCTTCATTTGAACAGGTTGTTGTAGGACCATTTTTAGCGAAGGTCATGCCAAAATTTTTTTAAAATTATTATTTTTCGGTATTCAGTTTAGGGTCGTTACATGGGGAATTGGATGGGGGCGGTGAGGTTGGCCAGCCTAATTCATTCTCTTCTCCTAGTAGGCTGCAGGAGTAGAGGGGTGTAACTCGCTACCTGGCTGGGCCTTCTCATTTGGATAAATTGGAGGGAGGCGAGGTAGCTCTATCTATTGTGGGTGGATAATCCAGGATGGTTGCTGGGGATGGTAGAGGGAAAAGTTTTAATGATAAGATGTAGGTTCTTGGGTCAGTGGTCAATGAGTTAATGGGGAAAGAGTTGGCGATGAAGTTTATTTCGTTTAATGATCCTGTTTGTAGACAAGATGGAAGATTGGTGCAAGGATCTTCATCCTAGAGTCATGTGGCATCCGCACAACTGGATGAGCTTATGTAAGGTTAGCATATTAGCTTCCCGATTAAGGGAAGAATTCTGCCTCTGGCTCGTTGGGATCAGCTGACTAAGGGTAGGTCGAAAGAGAAGGAGTTGGCACCGTATTTTTTGGAGGGTCAATATGTTAGTTCTGCATCTTCTAAGAGTAGGGGATCTTCACCGTCAAGATGTGGTTAAAAGCGAAATCAAGCTTCTTCTAGTGGTTTTCTAGGTCATCGTCATTTGGGAGGAAAGAAGCACAAAGCTGTGGTTGTTCATCCTAAGGTCAGTTTGCATCTTGAACCTGGGTCTCATGATGAGACGATTTGTCCTTATTCTGCTTCCTCTGGCATATCTAGGGATCCAAATGGTGAATCTTGTCAGTCAAATTCCTTTCTGTCTCAATCCTTTACTACGCATTTAGCGATGCTTGTGGGGGCAAACTCACCTAGATTCTCTGAAACTAGTTGAAGTTCTTAGGGCTCCTCAAGGCTTAACCTTGAGTTTTGGTGTGGTTTTAGGTTCTAGGGGTTTGTTGGTTTGGTTCCTTTTCTTCTGTATGTAGCTTTGATGTGGTTCAGTGTTTTGGTTGTATATGGTGTTTTGTAAATGTCGTTCGGCTTGTTGTTGTTGCCAGGAAAAAAAAAAAAAAAAAAAAAAAGCATTATTACACATTTTCACTTTTTTTTTTTTTCATTAATTTTTTTTATATATATAAATCTTACCAAAAATTATTAACCCCATAGTTTAGTCTTTTAGTGATCTGTGTGGGCCACATAAAACCTAGACTGGTAACGTTTTGTATTAGTTTCACCCTAGGAAGTATATATACAGATATGGGATACAAATATGATACGATACGAGTACGACGATATGACGAATTTAAAAATAAAAAAAAAAATAAAAAAAAGGATATGAGTACGGTAAGATATGACAATAAAAAATTAATAAATTATATATATATATATATATATATATATATATATATATATATATATTTTATGGTCATTTTTTATGAATATTATGAATCTAAATGTAATCATTAATATAACATAGAAATTTGTTTCACAACATATAAAACCACTATCCCTAGTCATCACTTAATAAAATTTGAACTTTTCTTAACAATTATATTACGTTATCATTATTGAAAAAGTTGCATTTTAATGTTAAATATTGTTTAAAATGTGTTATGAAGTGTCTCAAAAGTGTTGGATACACAGTTGAAATACCTAAGAAGTATCTGATAAGTATTGGCAGGATACGTGTTAGAAATTAAAAATATATATTTTAAAACTATGGATACGTTTAAGAAGTATCGGACACATATTCGTGAGTATCCATAGAGTATCGGTATCCGACACGTACTCGATACGGATACGTAACTCTCCTAGAAGTATCTGTACTTCTTATGTTATTGATTTCATACCGTGTGTATATATATTAGTATTTGAGATGGACATTTGATCAAACAGATAAATTGACAAAAATGAATCTTAATTACAAAAGGTAATTGAATGTCATAAAATAATTATTAATTTTACACAATGTAATTTATTTTTTTAATTAAAAGTATGATGAGGTATGTACAGAAAATATAAATTCAAATTTTATTATTCAAGCTCATATCACACTATTGAGTGAATTGCATAAAACTCCCTAGGCTTTGTGGGTATTTTAGTAATTCTCTTTTATTCCCTCGATTAATTGAAGGTTTTTTTTTTTTTTTTTTTTTTTTTTAAGGGGGTTTAATTTAAAACTTACAAGTCAAAGAGTTTAATGTATTTTACCCTTAAAAAGGAAAGATTTCAAAATGGAATTGAATTTGAGTAGATTTAACTCCCAATTTGAGGTTTCCAAAATGGAGTTTGACTACAAAAAAAAATTATCTTATTTTCTTATTTTGTCTTTACCATTTTTCTTTGCAAAATTGATGGAAAAAAAATAAAAATAAATAAAAAATTGAAATATCAAACAATATTGACACAAAATCTTGAACCCGAATCGATCCAAGAAAGTCCGAACCGAATAAGAGAGCATCCGGATAAATTCATATGGTGGTTAGTTGTGGCTCTTCTCTTTTACGTTGTGGCGTCGAGTAAACCGCACGACATGACCGGTGCCTTTATAAACCGGTTTTTCACTTCACCTTCAATTCTTTACACCGTTTCTCTCTCTGTGATATTCATTGACAGGTAGAGATTTTTTATTTGAGATTTTTGATCATTCGAAGTAAGTTTGTGCCTGTTTTTTTGGCCTTAATTTTGGTATACTTGTTACTCATTTGTCGTTCTTTGCTTATATCTTGTATATATTCTTTTACATCGATCAAGTAAATAGGTGGTTGATTGGTTTATATTGCCTTACTGGAAAATAGAGGACTGTATTGTGTTAAGGTGAGTGGAGGCTTTTGTGCGTGCGTGTTTGTGTGTGTGTGCGTGTATATATATATAGTTATATCGCATTTTGCAAATACTTCTAATTGGGAGTGTATTTGTCCAAGTTTTCTTTTTGATAAAGAGGCTTTTACTCACAGGTGCTTTTTGAGTAGTACTAATGTCTCGTATGAGAAATAAAAAGATATGTTTCTTATAAGATTCCAAATTATTGCTTCTTTTTTTTTTTTTTTTTTTTTTTTCTTCTGAAATTTTTTCACAGACAAATGTTACTTGAAATTTATTAGGGGTGTGATTTAGTTGCAATGTACACCTTCCATTTGATCTGTTCTTTCTTTTTATTTTTATAATTTTTCTTGGATGAATGGTAGTTTTTTTTGTGTTCGTTTTAATTTTTAATCTTCTCTAAAACTTGCTGATCTAACCAGTTTTGAGTTTTTAGTGTGACAAAGATTCCAAATGCTCTAATACCAAATTGATGTAGGATAGATAGAAACATATATAAAAGTAGATAAAAAAGAGATGAGAGAAAGATTAGAGAAGGAGAGGGCGTTCAATATTCAATCCCAAACAACAACTATTCATAAAAATTACATATAAAATTTTCTTAAGAACTAAGAAACTTAGCAACTAAGAAATACACAAAAATATCCTTATGTGATCGCAGCCTACAGTAGCCATTGATCCTTATCTATTACTTTGCATTATAATGTCTTTAATAAAGAAAGATGAATATATAATTAATCTATATATATATAGACACTAAGACACACATAAGGATTCATAATTGTTATCTTCTTTTCATTTTTCAAATTTTTTCTCAGCAACCAAACGCCAGGGTATGTGAAATCCATTAGCCTTGTGATTTAGTTGCAATGCACAACCTTCAATTTATCTTTTATTTGTAATTTGTTTTGGTTGGGTAATACTGATTTCTTGTTTTGATCTGATTTTGTATACATATTTTTGACAAACTCATTTGTTACTCTTTTGTTTTCTTCTACATATTAGGGTCTCAAAATGTTGGGAACTTTTCTTACAAGATCACTTCTGTATGTTTTTTTTTTTTTTTTTTTTTGGAAAGTTAAAACAAAACTTAGTACCCTTTTAATAATATTTTGAAGTGCTAATGATTAAGGTTGCTTATGCTAATTAATTAAAATGTGCAAATATATATATATATATATATATATATATATATATATATATCAATATGTTCTTTCAGGATTGTTTTCGGCTATGCTTATCCAGCATATGAATGCTTTAAAACAGTGGAGAAGAAGAAGCCAAAGATTGAGCAACTCCTGTTTTGGTGCCAATACTGGTATATATATGTATACTGTCACAAATCATCATATGCTAGGAATATACACACACTTTGCTCACTCACTCACTCACACACACACACACACACATCTTATGTTAGCATTTCTAAAGCCCGTCTTAATTCTTTTAAAATTTGTAGGATTTTAGTTGCAGTGATTACAGTTTGCGAGAGAGTGGTGGATAATCTTTTTTCATGGTGAGGAGTCTCTATAGACTATATGAACACTCCAAATTTATAGTAATAGGTTATGCTTCTGTGTATAAACATATAATTTGAATTGTTTCTTGGTTTTCTTCTCTTGTAGGCTACCATTATATGGTGAAGCTAAGATCGCATTGTTTATATATCTTTGGTATCCTAGCACAAAAGTATGTATTCGACCTAAAAAATTAATTTGAAGAACTCTTTTGTTAGGTTATCTGACTACCTTTTTTTTTTTTTTATCCTATTCTGATTATTCCTTTTTTTTTTTTTTTTTTTTTCTTTTTTTTTCACTTGTTCTTCAATTGTTCAGGGATCAGTATATGTTTATAAAACATTCTTTCGGCCTTATGTAGCGAGTCATGAAAGGGAAATTGATCATAATTTATTGGAGGTGAAGAATAGGGTTCGGGAGCTTAGAGTTCTGCTATGGCACAAGGCTGGAAGTTATGGCCAGATAAGGTTCTTCGATATTTTGCGTTGTGGATAAGAACTTGCTGTTGAATCAAAAATTCAACTTGCTATTTGTCGGAGTGCTTAGATGTATAACATTGCTGAATCATAATGAGAGTCAGACTTGGACAATGCAACCATTGTTAAAGTGTTAAACTAGTGTGCTATAATTTACTTTGATCTACTGCTTTTTCATGGTTGAATACATTACACGCATACGTATATATTGCATGGGTTAAAAAACTTGTGGGTGAGCACCATTAATAGCCTGCCAATGGCGTAGGACAAGTAATCCCTCTTCATGCTCAATTTTAAATGTTGCAACTGCCAATGCTTGATTAATATTGGGAACACTTATATATCTTGAACTTATAAAAAAAAAAAAGTAGTCTGAAATGCCGTGATTGCTAAAAAATCTAAGCTAAGCAGGCCATCGCAGCCTTATTACTGAGAAAATGAGAAGGAATGCAAGGAAGTAATTCTTCTTGAAATTCAGACTCCATTTGCACTTCTGTATACATGCATAAAATTGACATAATGAAATTCTTCTTTAACAGTCTCCAAACATCTTGCAAGGAATCACCTTCAAAGTTAATAATTTTAAAAACGCAGACTCCATATACACATGATTGTACTGGTACACAATAGAAGCAACAATAGCACCAGAATGGTCCCTAGAAACTGTTGTGATTTATATGCCCGACATAGCAAATTCCTATCTGAATTAAAGTGACAGATGTTCCTGACGTTTCTGAAATATTTATACTTTATAAAATTGGTGAATTCAATGCATTATATTTCGATTCATTATAGAATTGATAGTGTCCATTTGATTACAAGAGATATATATATGTATGTGATGGCAATCAATGCATGATATATAAATAGTAATCATAAATGGTTCATAGTTGGTAATTATGGATGGACTCATAATTAATTAAGACTTGAACTGGATCCGTGTTAGGTTGGGATATATTGCGAGAGCCGTCGTATGCAATTACTCCCTATCACCGTCATGGCATTTGACTCTTAAGTATGAGAAAATTATACTCTTTTATTAATTAATAATTACTTTGATTTGTTCGGCGGATTCTTCGGGATCCTTAGACCGACACTTTGGGTAGCTATGTAATTAATAGTTAGAAGGTTATATTTTCAATATTTGCATCATTGCTACTTGTATTTATTTTGTATTGATTATGGTTGATCGCAAAATAAATTCGAAAGCCTTCGTGTGTTTTTAGACAAAATGATTTATTATATATTTATTTATTTAAATTATTATTTTTGTTAAACAAATATTTTATTATGATCGAGTCAGAAATAATCAAAGATACCAAAATAAATATATTAATTAAGTAGTCGGATTGATGACTTTATTTATCCAATAACTAATTATGCATAGAGGGGTCAAAGTGTAATATTGAGATTTGAGACATGTGAATTAGAGATTGAGAATGATTTGTTGTTTCCTTTTCTTTATCTTTATGTTGCCTATAAATATACGTGGTCTATATATATTTTAGGGGTGATTTTTGGAAAAAGGAAAAAAGAATCTATTTTCTCTCTCTAAAAAATTAGGGTTTATGTTCTCATCTAATGGAGGCTCTCACAAGCCTAGTTTTCCAAGGTCAAACATGGAGGTTTATGAGTGATTCCTAAAGGCAAAACAATTACCAAGAAGATGAAGATCCAAGGCATTTTGTTAAGGGATCTACAATAAGTGAGAACATTCACTTTAGAGGAAAGATTTAAAGGTTTACTCAGACCTTTGATGTAAGTATTCAATCTGTTAATTGAATGATACATCATAGTTTATTTTTGCATAAAACTTGTCTCTATGTGATGAATCAAAATCTATGAATCAAAATCCCTCAAAAAATTTTTTAATCTAGCACGTTTCCCAACAGTGGTATCAGAGTATGGTTTGATTCAGTACTAGAGATCATGTTTTTATCAAAATCATCATCATGGATCCAAATTATATATATATATTGATGCATGTTAATGTATGATTTAATATATTGATACATGATAATGTATGTATAATTGTGAATGAATGATGATGTATGTTTGGGCCATGAATGAAGCTTATAGGTCAATTGAATGTAATTAAGGCTTTGATTTAGCCGTTTGAAAGTTCAATGATGTAATTTAATTTTTTCCATTGTATTTCAAATTGCAAATATTTTTAAAGCCATGTAATTTTTATCAAAGGATGCTATGAAGCTTCAAGAAGGTCCAAGAGGGTTAAATTAGGCTTCAGGAATTTTCTAGGATTTTTTAGAAATTTTTTAGAATTTTTCAGGAATTTTTTAGGGCCTAATTTAATTTCTGTGAATTTTTTAAATTATTTTTCCAGAATTATCGGTGATTTTCCGGCGACCAGAGCGTCGACGGCGGCGAGGGCAGTACCGGAAGGAATGTTAGATGATTCAGTGCTTCGCGGTGCACCATAAGTAGGTGCAACCACATGTAATAGCTAATAATTGCAATCAACATGAGAGAAATAATCCTGTGTAGTGCAACTGTGGTGCAATCAGCTAAATTGAAGCTGAAGGAATTACTGGCGCGTGAGGAGCACGCGCCAGTCAAGTTGAAACGGTCAACTCCCTGGCGCGTGAGGAACACGCGCCAAGTAAAGCCAGCATCTTCCACGCGCGCGTGTAGGCGCGTGGAAGAGCGTCCATGCACGTGCGAGCACGTAGGGGCAGGTGGTAGCGCGTGCCACGCGCTGATGCACCCCCCGGGCGCGTGCCAGCGGGTGTGGGGTCCTTCGGGCGCGTTTCAAGTGCTGTTTTGCCTCCGCAAGCGCGTACCAACTCTCTACAAGGTGTTTACAAGCTGATAGAAGACCCTCGCGCAATAGTTAGAGCACATAAATGTTAAAAGCTGATTCCATTGGCCGTTTTTATTTGCTTTATCTATCATTTATTGATGTATGTGATGCATGGAATAGATAATTGTTGATTAATTATTATTCATGCATTGGATCCATGATTTAATTAAATGGCTTGATTTATATTAATTAAATTATTAAAATTAATTGAATTTGATTACTAATTAATTTGAGGGCACTTATTACGGAAAAAAAAAAAAAAAAAAAAATTTATAAAGTGTGCTTCAAATTAAATATTAGTGAATCATTTAAAGTCCAAATATTTTCTAAATTTAATTGGATTAATATCAAGGCATTTTGTATGCATTATATCATGTAAATGAATAATATGAAAACCCTAATTATGAATGATTAAATATTGAGTGGGAGCGGGGATTTTTATACATTACCCCATGACCTTCGCTATTAAAACCATTGTAATTAAATCTTCAAAAATAAGGCCCCACGCATGATTTGAAGAGTCTTAATATTACAAGAATAATTGTCTCAGGAAAATAAAAAAATATTAAATGTTCATTGTAATTAGATCTCTAAAACTAAGGCCCTACGCATGATTTAAAGAGTCTAGATTATAATGACAAGATATTTAATATTTTATTTTTCATTAGAGCTTTAATAACGTTATATACTCAATCTAAAATCAATAGTGTTAGCTCCCCATCGGAGTGGTCTACACTAGGAGATTTTAGAAAGGCTAAACATAATCGGGAATCATTTCATATAGATAGACAAGGCATTGTCTTAAGAGATATGGAGATGATGGGACTTGCCCGCCAATAGCAATAATGAACTTCGCCAACCTAATAAGTTATTGGCGTATTGGTTATCCGATTTTTCATGCAGTGGTTAAGGGACCCACATACTATTTTAATGGAAGTGCTTGCCTAATAGCAAATGAATCTCAACAATAGTAATAATGAACTCCTCCAGCAGGATAAGTTATTAACATATTGATTGGTTAATTTATTATGCTACAGAGTTGAGGGACCCGTATTAATTAAAAGGGATTGTTCACCAATAATGATAATGATCTCTTATTCAATTGAGATTTATTATATTATGTGGTTAACAAACTCATTTTAATTTTAAATATGCATGATAGTATTAATAATTCACCTTACATATTGTATGAATGCATTTATATTCAAATTAATTATGTCTAATCCATGTTATCTGCTTGTTAACATATTCAATGTATGTGGACCTCATTTATAATGACTGGAAAAAGAACTTAGATATTTTATTCACAACGTAAGGGTGCAAAATGTATTTAATACTCCTATACCTAATTCATTTACTTTAAGATACTTAATGAGATGTTTTAGTGAGATTAGATAGGGCGTATGCCTGCGTACTATGTCAGACTTGAACACCATCAAGATAGCCTAAGGAACTCCAGTATGAAATTGTATTTTGAAAATGATTGTTTATTATTTAAAAATTAGCTGGAGATCAATAGGGCTGACTTGGGTGGTAAGTTTCAAATTAACATGATTATTGCCTTGTTACCAAACTGGTTCAGCTCTTTCAGAGTAAACTAAATAAGGAATCAGTTTGAGTTCACACTCGTTGATATTCTTATAGAATTGGTAACAAATGAAGGAATAATCAAAAGTATAGGCATTCCTATCAATCTAACCTAGTCTATACCATTTTCTTCTAGGCCCAAGTGGAAGGGCAAAGCAAAGAAGAAGGATGACAGTAGGACTAGGCTAGCACAAAACAAGGGTATTCAAAAGATTAAAGGGAATAAAGCAGTGTACGTTGAGGGCGAAGGAAACTGTTTCTTTTGCTGCTAACTAAGATACTAAAGGACGAACTATTTAAGCAATGACATGGCATAAGGAATGTATATTTAATCATTGAGCCGTGTTATGTGGTTATATCTATTAAATCCTGATGGATAGATACTGGAGCCACTAAACATGTTTGTAATTCGTTGCAAGTATTTCAGGAATCCAAAAGCCTCGATGATATGGATATATTTGTACTTGACCTGGTGTTAAAGTTGTAGCTAAGTCAGTGGGAGCATTACATCTGAAATTAGAGAGTATGAGGATATTAGTATTAGAGAACTATCTTTATACACAGATGTTAGATGCAATCTAATTCTTGTTTCACTTTTAGTTTATAAAAACTGTATTGTTATTTTGAAAAATTGGTTTTATAAAATTGAATAGATGTGTGATTGCTTTTGGTGCATTGAAACATGGTTGAAATACTATAGTCACAAACTCTTAATATTTACAGGATGTAGAAACTAATGTTGCATCATCTAGAT